GGCCATGAAACGGAGCAACAAATTTGCAATCTGCTTTTGCTGGTCAGTTCTTTCACATGGTAATGAACAGGAGGGACAAAGTCGAGTATCCGACCGCAGATGCTCTGGCGTTTAGAGTGATATAGTATTGGCTCGCGTACAGATCATTCTGTCCTAAAAAGATGACGACGATACCGTGAAGAAGCTTCATCTTTGAAAGCAGGTCGAAATGATGCGGGGATTGGAACCTGTGAGACTTGAGTGGTTCGGGGGGGGGGGGGGTTAAGCGATCGCAGCAATTTGAGAGGAAGAATACTGTAGGCTTGTTCGTGCAACCGAACCGAATCGTTTCAGCCCCATTTCGGGTCTAATCGTTGAACTACTGTCAACTCGGTAGCCGAGGTTGGCCTATTAGTGATGACGAATGGTGTGGTAATGGCATGGACATCAGCGATGACGATCAGCGGTGACGCGCGTGATAATAGGACACGGGCGGCAAGGCATCAGGAATCGCCAACACAACGGCCGCTCGGATGGAGAAGATATCAAGGAGTCCTTGATGTATGATTCATGCTATTACTACTGTAAGATTCAAGTCGTCAGACCATTAGATTTACGCTCTCTAGGATAGAGTCTAGGATAGCGTTGCGGGGTTTGGATGTGTATAGAACTGGTTCGTGAGTTAAGCCCTCTAACTCACTTGACCCTCCCCATGTAACTGGTTACGTTTTGGATGGAGTTTCGACTTCTGCGAGGACATCTCCTGACAATTTTGTTTATTATCCAAGAACAGATCTTCATTACGGTCAAGTGGGCAACGCTTTCATGGATCTCTGTGCCCAAGATCGTACCTGTAATGCCCATTTCAAGAAATCACACACCTTGACGACTACTCTTGACAGTCTACTGAATGAGATTGACAAGACCCCCAGCTCGAAGTGCTCAGCTTTTGTGGACAATACTGAATACGACGTGGATTCGAAGGCGCACGCACTAAGGATTCTTTTGGGCTCACTACTTACGGATTCAACTATGCACACCTTTATCCCTCCACTGGTTTATAGACTCAAGCGCTGTGAGCCCGAGGACGTTGATTTCTTGAAACACTTCTGCAATGCCTATACCCAAACATCCAACAACTCCGACAACTAAGAATCGTTGGCTTCTGAGCTATTGTATTCAACATGTCTCCATTGTACTGTGCCTTCTTGTAGTGGGTCGAAACTCGAACACACGCGAGGGAAGCTGGCGCTTCCGTTTAACCTTGAGCTATTGCTTGCTTGTTCTGAAGTAGAACACAAACTGCCCTACTTATCACTACTCTGAAAGGAGAAAAGCACATCGTCCTCAACTATGTATATCTCGTCTATGCCAGCTCGGCCGCACGTCCTGTGCGGCCCAGTGCAGTGGGCAAGGCTTGGTCTCCAATGCACCAGCCACTACACTTCTCCACAGAAAGGTCCAAGACATGGGACCAGCTTAAGCCCAGTAACTACGATGCTCATGGAATCATCTATAAACGCGACGAATGCTGGAACGTGAGCGCTACCATTCCCCGTCAGGCCAGTGTTCTGGTGATGAGCAGCAAATTGGACCCTCAAAAACTGCACATGTATGCTGCAGCCGTGTTGGAGTCACTTGACGGTGACAACAAGGAGCTGGTCACCTGTGATTATTCTGTCCACGTCGCACTTTTGTCGACACCACTCAATGAAGAAAATTCGATGGGTGAAACATGCGGAATGAAGATTTTCACATCGTACATCAAGAGTGAGGGTGATTGGCCGGACTGGATAAGATGCCTGGATCCAACATGACTGTGCCGGTTTACTATCAGAGCCTGTACTTCGGTACCGATGACGTGTACGACGGTACCATGACAGCGAACTCCGACAGCTATATCTTCTATGATGGTACCGCCGAGACGAACTCCGGTAGCTATAGCTAGCCAACAACGTAATCGTACCATGGTGACGAACTCCGGCAGCAATTCGGTTCAGATAGTACGGATCAAATACTTGAATCAAAGAAACGTAGGCTTGAGCGGATGTTTTTGTCTTGTTTTGTATTAGATTTGCTGTGGTATCCGCAGGTGAGTCTGTCAGCGTTCCTTTCCGATATTTGTTTGCAGCATCACAGCGCTTTTAAGCTTCAGCAATTTCTGTAAAATGAAAAATGGTACTGTTATTTGTCAATAAGCACCAACCGAAGTACGTATATTCAACCAAAACCTATTTGATGGGAGCAGGAAGTCGGAGAATTAAAACCCATCCTAATATTTATTTCCGTGCATGCATAATACTATCGAAGTAATGGGCCCTAAGTCTATCGGGTAGCCACTGCCAAATTCTTGTAATGTGAAGCCAAAATTTACTCATCCTCGTCATCTAAACGGTCCTCCTGGTCACTTTGTGACGAAGAATCGTCTGAGCTGGAATACACCGACGATCGTCGACGTGCTGTGGTTGTGCCTTTGCCACTACTCGTACCCTCACCGCTCTCTGGGTACACACGACAGCCCTGGTGCAAACACTCTTTTTGTAACTTTGCCAAATCTTTCATGAACGTTTCAAGAGCAGAAACGCGCGGCTCGGTCTTCGTAGAATCATTGCTCGTCAGCAATAAACTGTTGAGTTGATCAGCAACGGATTCTCGAAACTCAGACGTCAAGAACCTCATTGCTCGACTTGTCGTGGGGACGTTCTCGCGCTGGTCGTACAGCAGCAAACTCATCGCCAATGCAACGTCATCTGTACTCTCACGTTTTGTCTCAGTACCATTACTAGAGTCTGATCGTTTGCGCTTCCCGTTTGAGATCTCGGAAGATCCAAAGACTTGGCGAGCAAACTCAATCGCCAGCTCAGGATTCCATCCACTGCAATTCAGTTCATCACTTGAAGATGTCGCTGTACCGTTGGTTGATAGAGCAGCTGGCTTAGTCTCACTGTCGCTAGTCAAGACGTCAATAACGCAGAGGATCCGACAGTAGAGCATCAGTTTTCGTAGACGTCTGGACCGATAGCTTGACCAGTTATTCAGGAGTGCAGGCACATGGTGCTCGAGTACGACAAGCGCCTGTGCTGTACGGAAACAGCGGATATGGTCACGAACTTCGTGGCGGAGACTGAGCGACTCGATCATCTGCTGTTTCTTTGAGCTTGGTTGCGTGTCTCCAACATCCATATCCTCGTTTTTGCCTTCATCCTCCATATATTCTGTCACACTAGATTCATCACAGTCCAGTTCCATCCCGTTCGACGCTTGCTCTCGCTTTGAAGGCGCAAGAGTCTCTTCAAACGCTTTGTAGGCACTCTCGTAGCCGTAATGCAGGAAGAAGTCTTGCACTAGCTTCTTCATAGCAGCCTCGTCCTTGCAATCTGCCTGCTCAATAGCACCTGGAGGACCATTCTCGCTTCTTTTCTCGCGCTCAGCGAGCAGCGCTCGCTGCCGTTCCTTCTGAATCTGTTGTTCAAAACCTGTTAAATCGAATAGAAACTCCTGTGGTTCAAACACTCCCTTCACACACTCCCCAGCGCCGTGAAGACTCACAGCCGGGTACAAGGCCTTTTCCTCTTCATATCGACCGTCGATATCTTCCATTTCCACGTCATGGACTCTGTCCAAAACGATTCTTACTCCTTTATCAGAGTGCACACCATTCACACCGTCTTCCTCCCCACTATCCAAGTCTTCGTCACTTTCACTATCGACCGAGCTCTCTACGCCTCCAAAATCGTCCAGATCGTACACATCTCGAGCTGCCAGCATGCCCATTAACTTGCCATTCAACGTAAAAAAGAACGTATTAGTGTCCATCAAGATCCCGCATCCGACCACATCGCCAGCGCCGTAGCGCTCGCACTGCAAGAACTCGCGTCCGTGGGAAATGACGCGGCCAGTTTTGCCCACATATGCAAGCGAATTGACAGTCTCCCCGAGATCTCGATGTAAAATCGAAGGATAAGTTTTCACAGGTTTCCTTTCGCCGTCTTCTGATGACTCGGAGTCTCCATCTGCAGTTGTATCTGGTAGAACTCGCTGCATCAACTGCTTCACAGTGCGACGTGCCTCTAAGAAACCGGAAAAACCGGTAAAACCTCGAACAATACTGCCTGATCCTTGCTCTGTCTCGTCCAGTAGAAACCCCACGGCCACTTTATGGGTAAATCTCTTCTTTTCGCTACTGCGGCGCAGTCTGCGGCGGTCGAGTCGGGCCCGCATGTGCTGCATGGTTCTGGAATTTAGTGAAAAATTAAAGTTCACAGGTACACCACCCGAGTCTCCGTTAAGCGCTGGGAGCTGCACGTCCTCCATGTCCATGGCCTCCAGCTCTGCTCGACGTCGCCAGTCCCGAGCAGAAGTAGCTGCGGCGTCGCGATCTTGAGCTGCATGGCGTCGGATTGGTTCCGATGAATTAGCAGTATTGATTCTCGGAGGTAGAGAATTAGCTGCTAATTCAGGGTTTGTCGCCACAATCTGAGTCTCGAAGTAGAAGACGCGAGAATGAGCGTGAACGCCCATCGCACGCTTGGAGCGAAAGCACGCGGCGTCGGCTTCGTGGCTGGCACGTCCAACGTACTCGGCGGTGCGGCGGTCGGCGTGTAGACGGCCCTCAAAGGCGACGCTGCGCGGGTCGAAGGCCATTGCAGATGGAATCTGACGGCGCTTCTCGGTTATGGAAGAAAATGCTCAAAGAGAGATTTGATCATTTTGATTGGCTAAAATAATACGTAGAGCTAGTTCAAACAGCGATCTTCATCAGCATATAATTTCCTTTCCTTGAAAGTGCCTACACCTCCATAAAAGCTCGACGACAAACTGACATCTCAGTTAGACGGATATGCCTGTAGTTGGTTAACTAGCACTTGATATAGGGCACGGCCAACCCACTTCTGTACTCTGATGCGATAAAATGCATTTTTAATGCTTGCTACCGACCTGAGCTCTTTTTATTGATTTAGTATGGGAGTTGTCACGTAAAGTGGTACGGATAAGTTAGTCTTCGTTAAAAATAAAGTGAAAGCCTGAAAATGGTGAAAATAGTATTCATTTGTTTGGTGTCCGCTACTCAACAATTTCCAATTGGCTTGTAAGCGAAGCACTACCCGGAAAATGTAGCTTTGTTAGGGAGTCGACTCCTGGATCGCAGCCACGAGAAGAAGAGAGGCGACGTATATGGAGACACCCCCAACCACGGCCCAATACGCCATGTGATCCGACATAGCTTCCCACTTGTCGGGGTTATCCCGAGCATACGTCTCCACCTTTTTTACCTTCTCAGGCGTGATTTTGTTTTGACCTTTATTCGAAAACCTCATAATCGACTTCAGCTTTTGAATAGCCTGAGACGCTTGTATCTTGTCAAGATTCTTCGTCCGGCCCAGGTTCCCCCGGACCTGCTTCGGGTGCTTTCGCAAAAGAGATTTCAATCTGTTGAAGCCTGGTACTCCAACTCTCTCTCCATCCTCGATGAAGACTAAGTTTACCTCTTTGTCAATTTTCGCTTGTGCATCCTTGAGATAATACGGAGTGCTATCAACGAGCAGCACCACGATACAGAATAAAGTCTTTTTGGTTCACAAATAAAGCTCTCTCGACACTGATGGCCATTTTGGTTTTCCCAGGTCCGAGGGAGTATTTTTCAGCACAAGAAAAAGGCAAGGGTCGAAGATAAAATGCGTGTTAGACTTATTTTCTGGTACGTATACCGAGTTGTCTGCGCTATAATGTCCGATTCGCAAGTTACTTCAGGAACTTATTGCGTCACTTCACACATGTGGATCGCCTTTCTTAAGCTGCGGGAGGTGAATGATAACAACGTGTTACATTTCGTTCTTTTTTTTTTAAACTACCCTGCTACGTTTTCTGATGATCAAATGACTCGACTTCTATGAACATCGTGGGGCTGCAATTCTGTGATGTGGTATACAAAATTGAAGAAAACATGTTTGCAACAATTTCCCCCCGTCAATATTGCTCGCGCAGTAAAAAAAAAACTGTTCTTGTCTAGTCATCCTCAATTGGGTGCCAATTCGTTTGCAGCAACCTTTTTCTTGTACCAGGCATCAAATCTCTCGATTACGACATTGCCTCTCCGACCCATATACTTGGCTCTTAGGCTTTCAGGCGTCTCTTTGGCATTGTAAATCTTGGTAAAAAGCTTTTCCTCGTAGCGCAGCACCAGCTTTGACTCTGTTTTAGGAGAAAACCCGAGCTTGAATCCATAGAGAAAGGCCTTTATTTTCTCCACAATTGTTGAGATAGAGGGCAGTCGCTCTTCATCGTCTGTCTTGAAAGCTTCCATGCCCATGTTTCCGATGTCAGTCCGCAAGTTCCTCTTTTCATTGACGGAATATTCAGCCGACGATGGTTGAATTTTAGACGTCAGGGTGTACTTCCGATTCTTCGTCACGGCTTCGAGGTTGGGAGCGTTGGGCGAGACAGCTTCGATGGCTGCTAGGAGCACGGCCAGCGTCGAAAGCACGGTCAACAGTAGCGAGCGCATTGTCGGATGTGGGAGACAGGCGAGGAAATCAGAAATGAGCTATCAACGGACATGCCCAGTAAGGTGAAAACCCACTAATAAGCTATTACTTTAAGTATTTACTATTGGCCCTGGCTTCCGTATTACGAGGGTCCCGTAGTATGGTGAGTGGCCGTAATCACTTATGACGGATCAGACATAACAACAATCGATCCCCTCGGTAGTAATCCCTAGACTTGGAGTACTCCATTAACAGCAATAAATTAGCAGTTTCCGTTGACCAGTTGCATACAACCCAAGATATTATCCCCTCTCACCCCTCAATCGTAAAATGGAATACATTTTACGATTGAGGGGTGAGAGGGGATAAAGTCAAATATTTCTATTCTAAGCTGCTTACCTATGGAAACAGGCAAAACAGTACATGACATCCGAGGATTCTAGCAAAGACCTTTGAAGCTTGTAGTCTTGTTTCCTTCCAAGTTCTTCCCGAAGCGTGCGCAGCGTTTCTTGTAATCCACTCACCGATCAATCCGATACTCCAGTCGCATTTGCACGAACGAGAAGCTTAGCAATCCACATGAGATGTTTTATAATTGCTTCTAGCTCAAGGTCCTCCTCAATACTACACTACATATCGTCCTCTTTCGGGTTCTTTTAGCCTGTCTCAGAGTCGTCTACAGCCAATTCTTGGTCGCCAACTCCACAGAGTCGTCATCTGTGAATTCGTCTGCTGTTGTGTTCTCATCCGGCGGGTTTAGAAACTCGCCCACGGACATTGGATCCGTAGCGTACAGGCGCGATAACATCGTCGCAAGTACAGCGGACATTGCATCATCGTCGTCTGGATCATCGAAGCCGCAATTGTAGTACTTAAAATGCCCGGTGTACTTCCAGCATCTTGCGAAGAGGGGAGGTGAAAAAAACCAATCGTTTCCACTACTGCACTGCTCCAAACTATAATAAACTAGCGAGTTGGCTGCGCCGCTTTGCGGCGCAGCGCTCTTGAAGGTGTAACATTTTTTTCGGTTTTTATTTATCAAATACTACAGTAGATTTATAGTAAATTGTGAAGTGAGGTCTTACGCTTGTTGTCTATGCCTTTCCTGTCATTATTCTAGAAAGTAAATTCTAGATATAATAGTGAGCGTCCCAAAGTATGAAAATTAACCGTAAATTCTAGAGCTCAATTCTAGAGCTCCGATGTGGAGAACAGCCAGAATTTAACTCTTGAGACATTCATTTCTTATCAATATTGTTAACAGTTGAAAAAGTCAATTAAATTTTGTATTCTGAAACACTAATTCGCTGTTAAATCAAATGTTGCACTTTAAGCGGAAGAATTTTTAAATCAGAAGCGGCGCAGAGGGGATCGTCTGTATTAATAGAGATGCTGTTACGCTACTACTGACGCAGTAATTCAATTTGTGGTGTCCATCCTCCATTCTTAGATATTCCAGGATATGATGATTGCGCTGATTGCGTTCACTCTAGTGCTATTGCGACCAGCCCCATACATCCGTAAACAGAATGCTAGCACTAGGAAGTTTTATGTTTCCACAAGAAGACTACCTCAGCGATCTCAACAAGACTATTGGAGGAAAGTGGGGAGGAGAGAGGACGATGTACCCAGAAGGAGATAGCATATCTTAGAAAGGCAAGCTCAGGTGTCTGTAAAAAAAATGCATTATTTTCTGTCTATCAATATGGGCATAACGTCTACCTAAGTCACTTGTTATGTGTGAGATACTGACCAAAGAGCCTCAATACAGCCCAATATAGTACTCCACATACAGCTTTGTCCAGAGAATCTGGCTGGTTACAGTTACGATCTTTTCACTAGGTAGTATCCATATTATGTTACAAATACAGCAACTCACTCAAGGTAATGTGATAAATACATGCAGTACGGTTGCTGAGCTATGTGTATTGTCTCCCTCACAACCCAATATTGCGTTACCCTTTTCACTAAGATTATAAAGTCATCGACAAGGCAACATTACGGTCTTAATTGCGATTGTACTGTCAGTTTTGGGAGATGTTTACTCAGTCAGCGATTCCACAAGGTGGTGATAAGCTACATGTTACACTGCATCATAAGTACTATCGGCTGTTTCGATTCAATATCTGTGCCTGTCCGAATCCAACTGGAGAAGTTCAACGATCCAACCCGGGATGGGTTCGTTTCACGAAAAGGGCTCCCTCAGAAGATAGTCTCTGTTAGATAGTCTCTGTTATCACGACCAATTCAGTCTCATTTCAGTTCTTGCCTTAAGTCATTCAAGTCACCCAAGTGTACTGCTGTAGAAGATGAAGCTTCTCCACTTTATTACCCTCGTTTCTGCGATGAAAACGTTAGTGAACGGTTTGTCGTTCTCTACAATTGCGGGCGATTCTGCGCATCGACTGGACTCTTTGACGACACCGACCTGACATCCGACGAGGAGAGTCGCATCTACAGCGGATCAAACGCTGACATCAGCAAATACTCTTACGTGGCAAAACTGATTCCTGGTGATATGGAGGATTCACCATTGTGTGGTGGCACGCTAATTGCTCTCCAGTATGTTCTCACGAGTGTGTATTGCCTCGGGTGGTTCAAGCTTGACTTGGACGTATCGCTCGGGGGTCAGAAGAACAAGGACCAAGGCTCTCAAAAGTCGGAGCGGATTCGTGCCGTTGAGGCTTTCCGTCACCCACTGTACAACACTACGTGGTTCACGTATGATGTGGCGCTGCTCAAACTGGAAAAGCCATCCACTCATAAACCAGCACGTCTCGCTGATGCTGATGGATCGGACGCGAAGTCAGGCACAATGGCTACTGTCTTTGGGTGGGGGGAGATCACCTACAGAAAAAATGCTGAAACACTTCAATCAGTAGCCGCCAAAATTATCGCCGATGACGAATGTGGCAACTATGCCATTGACCTCGATGTGTTTTTGTGTGCCGGGACAGAACGCGGGAAGGGCTTTTGTGCCGAAGACACGGGGCTCTGCTCTGTTGTCCTCGCCCTCTGGTCCGAGACGAGAATAGTGTCGGTTGTGAAACTCCTTGCGTCTTCGCAGGAAACCAGAACATCCTCCGAATGTTCTCCACACGCGGGAGGTGCGCGTGTACAATCCAGGCAGTTCGCCACAATCATTAGAAGCTTAGTTTAGTCACTTTTCCTTTTCCTCTGAACGATAACCCGCCTCACCACGCCCTTCATCACGGCTGGTGTGGCAAACAAACATTTTGCCCCAAACGACTAAGTCCTCGCCATGGAAACTTGACTTTATCACCGACGTCGTGAATGGTGGCTTCACTGGTAATGTCACCGACTCACCCCCGGAGAATGAATTTTACACTGGAAGTTCTCAGTAACGAGTCGGAGAACACCTTGACAAGGCTAATGGGCTAAAGTGAAATGACATTTTCGCGCGCAACCGCTTTTACTATCTCTGTTGTATTACATGTAGTAGACATTGTGTATTTGCTGCTAACAGGGACGCCGATTAAACGATCCTGAGACCTGTTCTAAAATGATCAAACTGCTCTAACAAGAAACTTAACTTTCTATGAAATACAAGTGGGAATACCGAGGAATGAGGGATGAACAGCCCCAATCGGATTAATTCCACAGTACTCAGTGAGCGTAATCTGGGCTAACATTAATACAACATCCAAGAGTAGAGTGCACCAGTACATTTGCCCACTACAGTTCGTCTGTGAGTCTGTAACGACACTCAGTACCAACGTTATGCGCTGCGAGTACAGTGTGTTTAAGCACACTGATCACACTGCGTTTCTACACTGTGTCAGTTATGCAATGCAAGTACCGTGTGTTTTTACAGTAAGCCAGTTCAGTATGTCAATGTTGAATGTCAGGTAATTAGAATCAAGCAATTAGTAGCAGGAACACGCACACAGCAAGCGAAACACCAGCATCAGTTTTGTGCAAGTACCGTCGAGTGCCAAAATAACTTGTATGAAGGGGACAAAACTAATGCATGCACGCGACGAAACTCATCCGTCTCGAAGCGGTTCAAAAGGATGAAAATGTCACGTTTTACAGGTACCAAGTACCGGTAGCGCTTTTATTTAATCTCTCTTTCACAAACATTTTGCCGCGCCGTCAGGATAGTCTGCAATATGCACATGGAATTTTATGATGCACAGGTGCGGACAAACCCGGGCGTTTTAAACAGAACAGTACCATCCCATGTGTAGGCCGCAAGGTTGGCAAGCGGCTGGAGTATACTTCCTTCAATGTAGTACTCTATTGAATTGCCTCCCAACACAGTAATAATAGCGGTAAAGCAACCACGAGCAATTTACAAAAATTTGACGAAAATACTGCAACATCCGACTGAAATGCAGGATAACATTCTTAACGTTCAGCTTGAGCTATCGCGTAAATATCCGTATCCAGCAACCACTGCGGTGAAAACACGAAATGTGTCGGAGGGGTCAATAACGTTCGCTGGAGCTTTTTGAACACACTCTGGAAGTCGTTCACGCGGTATTGATAATACTAACAGGACAATAATATGTATAGAGAGTTTATTATCCTGTTCAAGTTATTTTTTTTTACAAATTCTATCATACTTCGTTTGGGATACGGCTGCCTGCTACAACCTGTAGCAGCTGCATTCAGCGTCAAAACGACAATAATATAGTTGCTGTTGACGCTAGAGCTTCTCTTATTTTTCTTCGCAATCGACACCTATGATACATGAGGGATTCAGATTGCCCAACGATCACTCAACAGCAAAAAGCTGTAACGAGTTGTGCTATCATGATGTCGTAACTCAAATAGCATAGTTCAGCATGTAGAAAGCTGCGATAATGCAAGAATTTTATTTCTGGCGTCCAGCAGGTGGAGAAACAACTTGAATCTTGCTTTGAGTGTTTGATAATATCAACCTTTTGGTGTCATACAACCAATTGCATTACTGTAATTCTACTAGACAAAAGGAAATGATATCAGGCCGTGCAGGTAGTAGTGCCGAGATGTCTGGATAATGTAAAAGGTAGAGGATTTTGCGGATTTAAGCAGCGATGTACGAAGAGACTATTCCTTGTGATCAGCCTTGAAGGTGGAGTAGGTGAATCAGTATCGCTCTGCCATGGTGTTAGATATTTACGATGCACTAACAAAAAGTTGGCAAACAAATGCAATGCTTACCCCTTCACTAACAGCGATCTTGACCTACAAAAACCACGATTGCTCTGCTATAATATCTTTAGATCACATGTATGCGCTTTCGAATCCAATGTTTCATCGTCATCGAAGCTGGTAGCAGAAGAAGATCTGTCAAGGTAGCTAATACGTTTCTTAGATTGGTCCTGTTGCCATATTGCCCTCATGTATCACTGTCGTCATCTAAAGTTTCCACTACATCAAACCCTCTCTACGTCACTTGAGCGAAACCTTGTTCAGTCTTTTCACAACTTTATCAGTAATAACATGAGGTCGGAGTGCTATGAGCTCCATGCTTGATGAATGTATCGTTATCACCGCGTCACGTACTGCAATCGCCGCACGTATCTCGATCATCTGCCATTATTGTCATTATACGAGAAGATCGAAATCCTCATGGTTGACGTTCAAGAACTGTCCATGCACTTTCTTCGATGGTAATCAGATCGAGAACGTATCGGTTGTGGTTCTACGGTTCAACATGATTTGGTGGACTCGCCGACAGTACGACTTTGTGCATTCAGCTCCATCATGGTTCTTTTTATAGCTTTTACTAAGGACCCCGCTGCTTAGATGGGTTTCAACACTTGAAGTAAAAAACTATATCAGCGATGTCACAATCGAATCACTCCCAAGTCGCGAAAATAACCGATTCAATAGTTTCCAATTAATTGAGAAGTGGATTTCACGCTGTATAGACAGCCTCAATGGCGTATACGATAGCCCCTCTATCTTCATGTGTTTACGTTGGATAACCGTGAAAGTGGAAGATATCGGCATCACGACTGTCATTGTGGGGACTACGTGGTGAATCCCGATAGGGCTTTGGCGCTCGGACTCGTAAAACTAGTCCAGATAAAATTGGCTACACAGCGTTCCAGTACGAGGTCAACCAAGAATCGAGACCGTGCAGACTACTCGTTTGTTCAACGATTATTTAAACGCTGAAACACTTGTAGATAACGGTTTTGAAAGTAGAGGAATAAAGATGCGGCTCTGTTTCGTTGTTGCTTGGTGAGAGGATGTACAGGTCAAGCGATTGACACAAGAAAACGGAAAACAAACCGATTTTATCTGGCTGATTTCAACCTGGAACGTCATTTCGACCCCTCCCCTCGGTTATCAATCTATAAAGGATTTTACCTTGGAAAACGAACTCGTTGATTGTGGGCATGTCACTACGACATTAAAACGCTTTATATTTGCTACAGCAACACTCTCGACGTCTCTACGCGAACTCAAATACCGACACACACAGCTATAACAGACTCTCTTTGTTCTTCGACGCAACTTGTTCCATCACACACAGCGTGTTGCTGTATGGACTGACAGCTTGCGGTACCTCAGCACCTTCATGGCGATCAAGGAATTGGTATCTGCGCTTTCCGCTGTGGCTTGTTCCATCATCTGCTCGATTTTATCGCGTGTACGACGCTGGAGCTCTTTATCTTCGAACGTGGTATTGAAACCCGACCAAATGAAACGCGTGGACTTTAGCTGTCGGTGATGCGGCTCACTCATGGATCGGCATCGACTGAGGCACGGAAGTGGGCCGGAGTTATCACTCGAAACTTGAGAGACCACTGGCATTTTTCGGAGACTTGATTGGTCTGTGGAAAGTTGAAGAATGAGAATGTGACTCGACAAGTGGGTGCTCAGATGAACCCTATCCATGGAAAAAAAATCTTTGTCGAAATTGTCGATCTTTGTGGTCCAATCTGGAGAGTTTCAGTGTGGGGCACAACTTATGTTCAGAGTGGACCCTGGTGCCAATGCAGCAAAAAAAGACGCCCTCTTGCTAAGCTTGCTTAACCTACGTCGCGTTTTCACAGCATCGAAGACGATATTGCGAGGCGCTTTACGGCTTCTAATTATTCGATCATCGGAGGAAAAAAACGGCGTGGGGACGTTCATGGAAAAATGAGAATGTTCGAGAACGTGGAGTGACGACGCTTGATGTTTATTTTATACTTGGCATGACGGTGTCTGGTAATCTGACACGGTTCGTTAATGTTGAGCACGCTGATTCCCTTTGGCATAGTACCGCTGCGGTATACTTAAGTACAGAATAAGGTCAGAAATATGCTGTCTGCGGTACTATCGTATCATATTTGTGGCCTTTCCTTAGGCTAGGAGGCCTGTCTAGCATACTTGTCGAGCCGCCACTTACAAGTGGTAAGCTACCACATACAACTTATTTACTTCTATCAAGTAATTTACGTGGTCTGTACCGCACTAAAGCACCTGCTCGACACTGCAACGATCGTTTGCATGATTTTTTTCTTTTTTCAAAACCAGCATGCAAACAGATCTGAGTTTAATAAGCTCGGAGGACACCAACATGGAAGGCAGTTTCATGTGCGTGGATGAGGGAGTTTACAGTGCAAGGTGAGGTGTAAACTCCAGAAACTACAGTCGAAATGCAGAAACGCTTTCCTAATGTAAATTTGAGTAAGCTACTCAGATTGCAATTGTGACTATGAATACGAAGAAACAAACGGTTTGCGCACGACCCGCTAGGTACCTGTGTCTACATGACCAGCTCTGCCGCTGAGCTTTTTCCAGTAATGCAGGGGGTCCCGAAAATGCAATTCTCAGACTAGTACTTTTTTCAGGTTGTCGAGAAATTGATAATTTGATTATTTGAATGGTTCTGGGCAATAACTTGCCAGTCAAGCACGGAAGTACGGCTATGGAAAACGGCGTTTATTTTGTTCTAAAGTCATATGTGAGTACAAAACAGCAACGCGTAAAAGGCGCACACTGGAATATTTTGCCACAAAGCCAACACACAGGTCCCATGCCAACAAATTAACCTACATGACCACTCCCACTACGATTTGAGCGAGCACGATACAATGGACTATATACTCACTCGAAAATTATCGAAGGGTGATGAGAATTTATACTATTCCAGTACAAAACTTGTTTAATCCCCTGAATCCCAACGTCGTATCTTACGCCATAATTATTTTTTTATGTCGTAAGATACGACATACGCCAACGAACAACAGCAAATGGCTCGAAATCAGAATACCAATACTTTAATCAAGTCATTTCAAAGCGATAAGGTCCGAGAGGTAAATTGGGACAAGATAGAAACGGGGCGGCACACGGGAAACTGCGGGGAAGGTTTCCAGTGGACCAGGCGCACACGCGCACGATTATCCCTTATTACGGAATTTCCTCGTGAGAGGGCGCACACGATACGGACGCCGGTCGGAGACTGCTGCTACTGCCGTCATGGGGCGCACACGATCGAAAAGCAGGACGGAGACCGCTGCTACTGCCGTCGCATTCCACGACATTGACTTTGCTCATTTGTGGCGGCAGATGGCAGCGGTAGGGTGGACGTACAAGAGACCAAGAGGTATTGAGCAGGAGTGGACGTACATGAACCCCAATGACTCGGCAGTTCTTGTAGGAGAAAGCGCAGTGATGGAGTATGTGATCAAGTCCGGGCTGCTGGATGGCGATGACGGCAATGAGGGCAACGATGAAGACGAGGGCAAAGAGGACAACGACGGTGACAAGAGCAAGGACGACAACGAAGGCGATGACGGCAACAAGGGCAATGAGGGCGACAAGGTCAATAAGAGCGACAAGGTCAATAAGAGCGACAAGGGCAACGAACGAGTCGACGAAATTCGAGCTTCTCAAATTGACACTACTGCTGAGCTTTCACAGAATACGCTGAACGATTTTTTCGGATCGTCCAGTGATTCAGACGTCGAACTGTCCCAGGCAGCGGTAACAAGGGCGTTTGATTTGTCGCCAACTGAGCTCGAACAGCATCATGATGCCGCCCAAAGTCTCCAGTTGCTGTAAGAGGCATCTGGAATGGAGAGCGACTCCCAACTGTACCCGATGCCAGTCACAGCACCGGACCAGGCACACAGAGCGCGCAGTAATATCAAGACTGACGTAAATTACATACCGGAGAACGAGAACATGAACGCGTATGAGAGCTATAGCTCAGGCTCGAGTGATGACAACGTCAATGAAGATAACGATGACAGCGACGACCTCAAAAGAGGCTATAGAGATGAACAAGACGATGTCGTGTCGGAAGACGACGCTGTCGAGATGGATCAAGCATTCGTTGACTCACTTCTGCTCGGAGATGACGCCTCGAGCCCTCAAGCGGTACAGCAACGTGAGAATGCATTGCGCGCGACGGAGTGGGGACCTCTGGCGGTTGGGTTTGAGACGGATGCGCAAGCATGCCCTGGGTTCAAGATTGAGGACGCGCGCCCAGTGTCTGCTTTACGTACCGTGGCTCACTCCCATCTACTTACTCTGTTCTATTTCGTGCCAAAGTCTCTATGGATATCAATTGGTATTGAAACGAATCGATACGGATTGTAGCAAGTATCACGACGCGAGGAAGTGATACGTGGAAAGCAACCTGATGGCCGGCGCGAAACATTGAAGCAGATCCGCAGCAGGCTGAAGTCGAAACGGGGGTATGATACCCACGAGATCCTTCACGTTGTCGGTTTGCTGATTGCACGAATGCTCTGCCCCCAACAGAGGCGCTTTGCAAGTCACTGGTCGATGGTTGAGGATGGTGCTGTACCCGCTGGAAACTTCGGTCGATATATGAGCCGAAATAGATGCCAAGATATACTACGGGACCTACACTTTGTCAATAACGATGCGGATCGTTCGCGGGACAAACTGTGGAAGCTGCGTTTAATTATCGATAAACTGCAGCAGAAATTTCTTACCGGGTGGACCCTCCCCTCCGTATTCTCCTTTGATGAAGGCGTGCTTCCAGCAACCTCCAAGGGAAGCCCAACACGGATGTTCATGCCCGATAAGCCGCATAGATATGGCTCAAAACAGTTTATGACGTGCGACTCCAGGAGCGCATACTGCCACAGGTACGATATTTCGTATGTCGTAACTTATGGCATCAGAGTGATATCTAACGGTCTATGTCGTATCTTACTTCTAGGTTTGAAATGTATGCAGGCAAGAGGAGAGACACTGAAGCTGAAACGGTATTTGACCACAAGACTGGCGCAGCCGCTGTCGTCAGAAACTTGATGACTGTGTTAGGCTCAAGTACAAGGCAGCCATGGCACGTAGTTGTCATTGATCGGTATTACTCATCCATTTTGCTAGCTATCGAGCTTCTTAGCATGCACGTGCACGGCATCGGGACCATTATGACCAACCGACTTGGGTATGACCAGCGTGTCAAGGAGAAACGGCAAACACGCCCAAGACGTATACCTCGCGGCAGATTTACCTACTCGCGCTCTGTTGCTATTCCGAGCATGGTGTCCTTCCATCGGTGGGATAGGAAGCCCGTGCATTACTTGTGCACGGAAGTTGCAATGACCGAGTCGAGTATTGACCGCAATATCAAGCAGGTTGGCCGAATTACTGTACCCTGTCCTGACGCAGTAAGTGACTACCAGCGTTAGATGGGCGGAGTTGATGTCCATGATCAACTCCGCCTCCAGAAGTACTCACTACAAACGTCTACAAAGTTCAAGAAATACAACATGAGCTTATTTTTGGGCCTTCTCGATCTCGCGCTAGTGAACGCCTACATTTCGCACAAGGAGTCAGAGAGGATTAGCGGGACGGTGGCGATGAAACGAGGAGAATGGTATAATGGCCTTCACAACCAGCTTCTGCAACTCAAGGCAGAAGATTTCTTGGGCGTAGAGGTAACTCCCCCGCCAAGCCAGATACATAAGCGAATGCCGCTGCGCATGACCCACGCGCTTGAACAGTGTGATGACTGGGTGACAGTGAGCGGCACACAAAAGCGGCGGCAAAGATCTTGCAAGCTATGCGCGCTCTTGCGCACCAATACCAAGAAAAAGTCGTTCGCGACGACCTTCTTCTGCGAACGCTGCTCAATCGATGGCTCTACAATAAGATTCGACGACACTACAAGGGCGTCAAGAAGACCTGCTTTGAAATGTGGCACGACGATTTCGAAGCCGGCCAGGAATACCTAGAAACTTGGGGAAGCGTGTTGTTTTGAGACGCCCAGGACAGCTAGTTCGTGAGCGGAAGAAAACTTGTCGGGAGCTTCGACTATGCGGGGGCGGGAACGATGGAGATGACGCAAATGAGAGTGACCACTAGTAGGTTTCGCCTGGGCAACCTGTGATGAGTGCTCGATGTAGTCAGATTTGCAATGCCTGTTTCACTGATTCAATGCACCTTTTGTTCACCGTTGTCCGACTGTCTGGGTTCATATTCGTAAGCCCCGAATCATTTCTTCCCGCATTCTTCCCGGCGCTGGAACCACTTCGGTGCAAGTTACGACATTCACTTCCTGCAGATGACGGATACGGTGTAGAACTTATGACGTTGCTGAAACAACCTCATCAAAACTTATACAGTGATATGCAAGTGCAACATCTGGCACATACACATTTGTAGTAACATGGTTTCGTCGTAAGATACGACGTTCGCTTATGCGTTCTCGACACACTTTTCCGGGAATCAAGGAGTTAAAATATTAAAAATATTTAAACATAATAATCCTTTCACATTAATTATTACAATATCAAATAGGAAAATATCATGGTTGAGCAAAGGTTGCTAGAGAATCAGACGACAATTGTGCCTGGCCCAATTAATGTCGGCGAGGCTGTCCACCCAGCTTTTAGCTAGCCACCCAGGATACAATTAGTGCAGTCTTGGCCAGATTCCAGCTTATCGTGGCCATCCGTGCGAGTTTTTCACTGGATCACTCAACGAAATTTGAGCACAAACAGAATAATTTCGCAAAGGACTTTCTAAAGAGGTCGTGCTCCACTCGAAAGAAGCTCTGAAATCTCAAGCAAAACGCCACCACCTAATATTTGAAGCCTGGGGCTTCCTTTGTCGGAGATGCACGCAGCATCTGCCCCAGTAAAGCTACTACAGTCCACGCCAGAACGTTTTCAGATTGACTGATTGTCGGTAGGACAGGCCAAACTAATTCTTTTTTTCTTTGTTTTATTGATATTTCTTATAACATGACGCTCCGAATTATATATTGGGTCGGAACTGTTGATATCATTTTAGGCGGGTATATATTCATATAGTATTTTCGAGCAACCTTCCATACTATAACAAACATACTTACCTTACCCGACAGATCAGGAACATTTGTTTAGCTTGTTAGCCTAAAGCAAGTACTGAAGTCCATGGTCATCACTGTAATGTACTGCTGGGTATTTGTATCGACCCTTCATGAATTTATGGCGATTACGGGATCCAATTACCTGAGGTATTATTTAATTGTAGAATCAGGCACCCTAACTTACAGAAATAAATTTCAGAGAACAAGGGACTGCCCAACAGGATAATGCTAGTTGGTTATTATTAAGCTTTCACTACCAGAGGTGAATCATCGTTGGTGAGTAATGCTCTGTAGTGATAAAAGGTGGTATGGGCTATAAGAAAACTATTCAAACAGACTAACTTTCCTTAGCCCGTTGAAGATATTCTGGTCAAGAGCAGCCAGTGATCATGTTATGGCTATGGCTGTTGTGGTGCACATCCACAAAATTTACACGACAGACTTCATATCTGGGAATTATGGAAATAGCTGACGATATGCCAGACGTTTTCAACAGTGAACCTTCCAGATAAAAAAAGCTTAGAATGGACGGGCACGTGACGTCATATCCCCC